ACTGTTTAAAGATGAGAAAAGTTACATCACGTTGGGTTGCTCACAAACTCAGTGATGAACAAAAGCAACAACGACTTACGAGGGAGGTCCACCAACTTATAAATCGTTTTCCAGTCAAAATCTAATTCACTATAGGTAATCAACCATGCTGATTCCGAATATCACCATGACTGCTGTTGCTAGATCTTCAAAGATCGGTTTTCTGGAAAACCAGTTTTTCAGAAACTTTAAAAAATAACCAAAACCTTTTCTTAATGCTGCATGATTGTAGCCCGCACATTTCTGATTAAAATGAGACGTCCAGCTCTACACAATCTTTCTTTGCAAAGTTATAGAATTTGCAAGAAAAGCCCTGAATGTTCGTTGTCAGCTCAAAGCTACAGAAATAAGAAGAAATTAATGTAGGGCTTTCTTGTAAATTCTATAACTTTGCAAAGAAAGGTCATGTAGAGCTGGGAGAGGTCTCATTTTAATCAGAAATTTTGGGACTACAATCATGCATTATTAAGAAAAGGTTTTGGCTATTTTTTAAAGTTTCTAAAAAACTGGTTTTCCAGAAAACCGATCTTTGAAGATCTAGCAGCAGCAGTCATGGTGATATTCGGAATCAGCATGGTTGATTACCTATAGTGAGTTAGATTTTGACTGGAAAACGATTTATAAGTTGGTGGACCTCCCTCGTCAGAGTCTGTCGTCAAAATCTAGCAAAATTTCAGACTGGGAAATGGAGATTATCTGATGTCATTACTGATGATGAGACATGGATTTATCATAGACAGATTGGTCGAAAAGTCAAGTAATGCTACATGGATTAGCGAAAATGAACCACCAAGGACCATTGTTCGTCGAAATAGATCTGAGCCCAAAACATTGTTTTGTTTATTCTTTAAATCAAATGGTCCTGTTCTTATACACAAAATTGATAAAGGCAAGACTGTCGATCACAACTATTACACTGAAAATTGTCTCAAACCTGTTATTAATGAAATACGAAAACAAGAAAAATCATCACGTACAAAATGCATCAAATTGCTTCACGATATTGGTCGTCCTCATATTCATCGGGATGTTATTGACTATTTAGCAGAAGAAGATATTGAAATAATACCACATCCACCATACTACCTGATCTTGCACCCTGTGCCTTTTGGCTCAATGATTACATCAAGATTAACTTGGCTGACCAAGAAAACGAAGAATCACTAGCTCGGACGGTTTGCGAGATAGTGAACAATATTCCACAAAAAGAGTTTAAAAAACTTTTGACAAACTATTAGAAAGAATGAAACTTTGTATAAATAATAATGGTGACTATTTTGAACATTTAATAAAATAAAGCTAAACATAGATCTTTCTTTATATATTTTTATTTGATATTTTGAAAACCTTTGGTAAATCCTAAATATATTCAAATCCTGAACAAGGAATGTTCACATGTTTATTGCATTATAAGCTCTATCTAAAAGACTGTTAGAATCATAGACGAGACATTTTACTAAGTATTCATGCAATAAATCTTTCGATGTTAAGTATTTTATAAAAATTTAAACATCGTTCTACGAACTTTTGGTCAGCCCTAAGTAAAATGATGCATGTTAAAATCTCTTATACTTTTATGAAATTGCTTTCAGTCATTAGTAGAAATTACTCGAAACACATCCGACGACGAGATACTTTTTTTTCTCAGTGAGTATACAAACTATCGTGAATATTTAGAGAATGGAAAGAGAGACATTTTTTGATTCTGTCACCTTTTTTAGATTATTTTTTCAGATGTATATATAATTACATGCCGGCATTCTTCGAATAGAAATAAAATTTTTTATAAAAGGTACATGAACTTCCCGAACTTCGCACACGTTTTAATAAAAAGTGCATATATGTATATTTCACACATAATTACATAAATTTGAAATGTCTGTGCTCTTAAATTGCGCATACTTTTTAGTTAGCAAGTAAAACATAGACTGTATATAAAATAATATAAATGATATGACAAGTGACTAAAAATTAGGAAATTTCGGGAAGCTATTGGAGAAATTGAGAATACTTTAATTGTCTGAAAAGTAAACCTGGTAAACAGCTAATACCAAAAATGAGTAATCAAATAATTCCTATAAAGGTACATATTCTCTATGCAAAATGTACTCACAAATATTTCAAAAAAATGAAGCGATCAGTGTGATTCACAAATTTGCATTTATTTTTCACATGGACATCGTCATATTTGAAACAATAAAAATGATTCAGCCCCATGGCGTTGTGTCAACAAGGAATGTAACACTGAGATATTAATTCATTCAAACACATCTGTGATTGAAAAATGCCAACATTATCATGAATCATATCATAATTTCATAGAATGGTACGTTCCTATTTCGTGGAAATTCAAAATGTACAAGTGTTAAGTGGAATTTTCTTGGAAATTCATTTTTGAGTAGGGTAACGATATGCATGTATACTTCGCCTCATCCAGCAATCTTCAGACAAGGAGTTCAAATGAATTTCGTAACCTAAGATGGTCTACTATATTACTGTAAATTCTTATTGTACTTCACCATGCCCCTAACCTTATCTTTTCTAAGCCATGGCTTTGAAAAATCTTTTTTGTCGGAAGAATTTTTTGATATCAGATGTGATTTTTTTGAATTTCCAGAAAATAGGAGTGTGCCATGAACTCCGAAATTCAGAACAACAATGGATTCGTGGTATGAAATGTAGAGCATAGCAGGAAACCATTCGAGTTCCGAAATTTATAAAGAAGAAAGTATCGATTTTGTAAGTCTTTTGTTTTGAGACTACTGCTCAATTCTTGAATCTTGACGATATATTGTATTCTAGTTTCGGTCATACCCAACCACTTGTTTGAGTACGCGATAATATTCTTTCTATGGACTCTCGTCTCGGGGTCGATCGCTCGAAAAATGCGACTTTCGATATGAGCGTTCGGGGGGGTTATCGATTAAGAGTCCCCGAGTTTCAGATAAGTAGCGAATCATAGTGGAGGTCGATCAGAGGCCGAACAGAGATGTTCGGGACCCAAATAGACGAAAAGACTTCCGAGCCCTCGTCACTCGAGGATGTGAGCACGCGGAAGTCCCGAGTATTTCTGTTCGATGGCTAGGAATTTTTCCCAAGGACTCACTACCTATCTGAAATCTGAAATCCTGGGACTCGAAATCGATATCCCCTCGAAAGCTTATATCGATGTTCCGAAGTCTCATTTTTTGACCGGTCTATGTCTCAGCGAGGGCCTTTTTTTATGTTTTGCTAATTAAAAGGTGAGAGGTGATCCAATGCCGTAGTGAGAAACTTAAATAATTATGTGCAGAATTTGAGATATCTGAGTTCGTACTATCCACTTTCAAAAAACAGGCACAGGAGAGGATTTCTTCCCTTCGAAAAACAGGAAAGTCAATAAATTTTTCCAGAAATACAGGAAATAAGCAAATGCAGAAAAATGACAAGTGAGGTTTATCACAGTGTGTTAAATAATTTATTGCTAGGCATAAAGTGAAAATTCACTTGACCTTATTTAACAAATGTTATACAGCATTCAACCATAGTCATAGATAGTCGTAGGTACCAAGCTTATATCGCTTGTTATTTATCCGTCCAGTATTATTATTGTTGTCTTCTTTCATCTTCCTCTTTTTCTATACGTACAACAACTAGAAGTGAATGGGACTAACCTTTTCTGGTCCAGATTCCATAGAAAATGGAATCTGTTCCAATCAAAAATTTGATCATAGAACATGAACAAATTTTTCACCGCTGGTGGATCAATGCAGCTTTTTGCTATTGTACTGCGTTGGAGAACTTTGTACGATCTTATACGAAAAAATTTGATAGAACGACAAGTTTGAAACTCACATTAGAATTTGATTCTACAACGAAAATTTTACTTTTACGGGACCCCAGTTTTTTTGTGCTTGATGCCGGTCCCGACGGATCTAACAGCAACCGTCCCGCCCATATCTAACAACAAGATCATACTTCATTTTACTTTTTCTTTACTCTTCAATTCTCCTTTCTTTTTTATTCTTTTTACTGCTTTCGTTTAGTATTTCGACATGAGTGTGTAGACAATCAGTCTTTATGGGGACATACTCGTCCTTAGTGTAAATGTCATGTCTGTTAATCTTCTCTTCTCTTGGTTGACTGAATAAATTAAAAATATTTGTCTGACTAGATGATTGGATTCACGTAAGAGGCAGAGACTTTTTCACAGATTTTACCACAGTAAACAGTAGGCTGCAGAAAAACGTCAAATATAGGAAAAACAGGAAAATTTCGAAAATCAGGATAAAGCAGAATGTTCTCATACAAAAACAGGACAAACACGAAGCCTGCTGAAATATAGATTTGTTAACGGTAATAATATGCCTAGTTTGGGCATGAACCGAAAGATATTATTAGCATTTGATTTCCATATGGTATCATTTCTTTGGTTGTTTTCTTTATCAGTCTCAGACATTATTATTTTTATTTTAGTTGCATACAACTTCTTTTAGTCATAAATTTGCTCTTTCTTCCATTTCTGTAACATTTTTTACAGTGTATACATGCATATAGATAAAACAAAATGGCTTGTCGTTGCATACTATAGACCTGTTGCAAGATGAAGGAGAAGGAGAAAGAGAAGAATATTTAAGCTTGTATACAAGCTTGAATATTCTTCTCTTTCTCTTTCTCCTTCTCCTTCATCTTGCAACAGGTCTTATGTAAGACAGAAATACTGATAGAGACTACTTTCCTCTTCTTTTCTTCATCATGTGCACATGTCTTTGAAAAAGTAAAAGAAGTAAATATACGTAGCTATATTAGTCAGCGAGCTAAACTTTTTAAATCCATAGAAGATTCGATACCTAGCGCGGATTGTTCTCTTAAGACTCTGCTACTTCTTCATAAGGAACTGTGCAAGGATCATTACTCTGTTATCTATCGTGCAGTTATATGTTATATAGAGGAATCTTTAAGATTCGATATTTAAAAGTGTATACTTTTTCTTTGTTGTATCACACCCTTCCTCACTCAATTTATGTGTTTCGTTTTGTTCTAACGTTTTTCTTGTTCTTTTTACTGCTTATTTGCTTCAACGTTAGGCTTCCATGAATGGTACAATGATTAGTCGATTCCATCCTGGATTCTACTAACTTTCTTTTACTTTTCTTTTTACTTTTATGAAATAAAGTTTAAACAAACATACAAAAACAGAAGAAAGATTTATTACTCACCCATTTATTACTCATCCATTTTTTTCAATGGGAGATAGATGGCCCTGTTAGTGCAAGTTAGAGCTTGTAGGAAAGCGCTCATATCTTCTGAATGCAGCCCTAGTGAAACTTCTTGTACCCAAGATCTTGGGTTGAGAAATGTCACAAGATCTTAGAAAAACACTAAGAAGTCAGGATCTTGGATTGTTGAATCTTCCACTCAAGATCTTGAAACATCTCCTGGGTTAAGAAATTTCAAGATCTTGAGTGAATCCACTCAAGATGTTGCAAGAGCTTGAGTGACACATTTTCTTTATATTTTGTAATTATTTATGACAGTCGCAGCCATTGGATATACCACCGTATATCCAATGAACAGGGCACATTGAACTATGACAACTATTTTTCCAGACAGATTCCTTCTTTTCGACAATTTCTTGAATTCTTACATTTTCTTACCAAGATCTTGAATCAAGATCTTACTGAAAAAATTCAAGATGTTCGTTACAAGAAACAAGAAGTTTCACTAGGGAAAGTCATATAAAGTTGTACAACATCTAATTCTGATTGGAGAAGATCACTGTATAAATCTGAGCGGTCTCGCAGCTTTGAGAGAAAAACTTTAGTCTTTATCGAGAAAAAACGCTTTTTGGCATAGAAGAATATATTTTACTTGAAAAGCCAGTGGTGAAATATATCGACCACCGTTCTGAATATATAGATAGTTTAATAGTCCACATCGATGTATATTTTCCACTGTTAATCTGCCTTTAATCATGTCAGTTTTCATGAACATATGATTTATGAAATAACCCGAAAGCGTCTACGTTGAGAGAAAAATGGTTATCGAATAAGGATCGAGAATTATCGAGTATCATTCTTACTTCTATTTGTTTCAAAATAGGGGATATGCGGATACTTTTCGAATAATTTTTGAGTAAAATTTTTACTCAAAAATATGTATGATACGTAGAAACAAGCAGTTTTGTA